TCTGCTGCCGGGTCTTACGAACGGTGGTTGGCGCTGGCAAAGCGACTTCGACGTTCGCTTCACAGTCCACGGTTTTCTGCTCACTCTCCTGCTCGTCCTCCTCCTGGTCGTACAGTCCCTGGGACATCTCGGCGAGTCGGTCCTGCTCGGTGGGCCAGTCCCGCTTGTTCGGCATCGCCAGGCAGCGGTCGAGGCGACGTTCCTCGTTCAACTTCCGCTGCTCGACCTCCACCGCTCGCCGCAGGAGGTCCTGGTGGTCTGCGTACGATGGGTTGTACGAAGTCCCCGGGTGCGGCGGCTCCACGGCAGGCAGCAGCGACGGCTTTTGATGCCTGTGCGACGGCACGCGGTAGTTCACCGCGTCAGCCGCTGTCGGCGTCGATTCTCCGTCGTCTTCGTCGCCCCAGAGGTCGCTAAGGCCCGTCAAGTCGAACCGGCTCGTGACGACTTTAGCCTTTCGCGCAACGCTCCGCAGTCGATCTACGGCGCCTTGTTCGAGACGCTTGGCGAGGCGCTGCCTCTGTGCTTCGCGAACTTCGGCAGGCTTACGAGCGTCGGGGTCCCGTACCCGGCGCGGTTTCACGGGTGCTTTTACCTTGGAGCTCGACTCGAGGTTTTTAAAGCACTTCAGCTTGCGGTTACGGCGCAGCTTCTTGCTCGCAGCGCTAGCGGCAGCCGAACTCTTAGCCGTCACGGGCAGCTTGTCCACGAAGAACAGCTGATCGTCTGGCTTACTGGAAATGGAACCACCGATCCGCTCGTCGAAGCGCTGTTCTTCCAGAAATTCTTCGACATCGTTGACGTCACAATGTTTTTTCCACGCTTTCTTGCGGTTTTTACTCACGCCGAGACGCTTACGCTTCGTGGTCGCTGCCATTTTGACCAGAAAAGGAACGTTGGATTGGAACTGTCTGCGACTCAAAACTTCACTAGATTTTGATGGTTGCCAGTTGGTGCAGCAGATGATGTTTATATCTGGTTGTTTTTGTCTAAATTAGTCTAAATTGACGCAAATTTGCATTAAAAGGTACTCTTCTGGAAAAACATTCGGCTACAGGCTGCGTGCCACCAATAACGGAGGTTTGGCTTAAGGTGCCTCGATGCCAGCTGCGTTCCTTTAGGCCTTCGCTTTCCACGTTATCTCAGGGCAAGTAAAAAAAGTAGTATAGCTGAGTCATGCTGAGCGCGCGCAAAGGCTGCAGATAAAGGCAGACGACCGCAGTTGAAATAGGAGGTAAAACTTCCTTGTCACAATTCCTTTGTGCTCGTTAACAGGTAGGGAGACAGAAAGTGACCATTAAAACCAACAAGAGTCATGGTCTTTTATGCGCGACGCCTTTAATTGTCGACGATTCACTTGCAAGGCAGCACTGCCCGACTATTCCTGCTGTAAATGTTTCCATCTCCAGCTGGGAAATTTTCAGTGTCGAAAAATTTGCTGTTGCATTCATCCAGGCGGGAATGACATCATTTTCACTAGGCATATATAGGTCACGCAGCATCAAAAACGAATGAAAGAAGGTGTTGCGAGAGTGATTACATATTAGACAAATATTCGTCAAGAGCTTACAGATTAATTCAACATGTGCCAAGTTTGACCTGCGCTTAGCGACATAACCGAGGTGACGTGACATATCCAAGTGGCATTGTTCTAAGAACCGGAGACGTAACATAACCAAATAAGATTTAACTGCACAGAAATCATCGAAGGATTCAACTGTGAAGTGAAGGTGGCACCAGGATATGACAGGAACAACTTTTATTGTAAGCTATTTGTTCTCCATATAGTTTTTCATAACTAAACTTGTTGAAAGTTCCACTTATATTTTACCTTTACAGTTGTTCCTGTAAGTGCCGACATTCTGTAACTGTTCGGCATATATTCACAATTTAGCATTTATAGTGTCCTTCTGACTGACCGCTCAACTACTGTGCATTCAACACTGCTTTTATGTAGCTATCATTAGCAGCTGTTAGCAATTAGTTGCCAGCATTTGTTTGAGCTGCAGCATTTGCAGTCATGTGAGAGTGGTAGCTGATATGATATAGTATTGCCAGCATTTGTTTGAGCTGCAGCATTTGCAGTCATGTGAGAGTGGTAGCTGATATGATATTTGCCCCATTTACTTGTTAAATTCACACGCTATAAATTTATGCTACTTATTCCACAAATATCAAGACTATTTTTGCAATAAAAGGCTTTGACCAGTGACGTGATAAAGTGTCCTAGGCTTATGCAAGCCTTATTAATGCAGATTTTTTTGCCGGAGACACTGAGGCCTTGTCCGCAGGTGGGAACACATTATCCAGCAGCTGCATCCATGCATGCGCTTGGGAGGATGGATCATCGCAAAAGACCATGAAACAGGTATTGTCAGATTATAATGACATATGAAATGTCTACTGTAAAATTGTAACATTGTCAATCATAAAAAGGTTGAACGAAGTAGGGCTCAGTATCTTTCCCCGAGTGATACACTGCGATCAAATTGTAACTAAATTTAGCGCAACTTGAAAATCCCTCGAAATAACTCGCACATTCACACTCGCTTCCACGCAAAAAACACACACCACACACAGCGCTTGTGTGGCGTGCTTTTTGAGTGGCAGCGAGGGTGGATGTGTGAGTGTTCGTTGGGATTCTTAAGTTGAGCGAAATTCGCTTACAGTATGATGAGTAAGCAAGTAGCCCAACAACAAGTTTTTATTAGATGTACTATCCTCAGTCTGCAGAAACTTGGCAAGCTTGGTTGTCAATGTACTCTAGTGGATACAATGACTTTGAAGCAATTGAGCTCCCCAGGTGGTCGAAATTTATGGAGCCCTCCACTACGGTGTCTCTCATAATCATATGGTGATTTTGGGATGCTAAACCCCACGTATCAATCAAATAAATCAATCAAGCGATTGCACTCGAACAATAGGCATTCAAAACAATGGAGTTAATTTGCTTGTTGTTGAGAGGCTTGCATGCAGCATAGTCTGAAGAGGTCTTCGCTTGTCTTCATACAGCGGTGGCTCTGTCTTAGTTGGATGGCAGTTGCCAACAAAGAGAGAGTGATGTGGGTTGAAAGGATGTGTTGCGACTAAGGTTAGTTGGGGAAGGTGCAAGTTGAACGAAAGGGCAACGGTGGATAAAAACAAGAGCTGAAATGTTTGCTGTGCTTCAGATCATGGCAGCACCCTGACATGGTATCCTGCTGCAGTTAGTGAGTATAACAACAGCAGTCTTACTGAGTTGAATAAAGGGCCCATCAAAGCTCGTAGAACTAGCTTCTTTCCTATTACAAATCTATATGAATAATCTGCTGGATTCTAAGTAAAGCACATTCTTTTAATTCCACCGTGACCACTTTGTGTCATATCGGTGCAATTTCAAATCGAAGAAATAAATCATAGCAAATAGTACCTTTAATTGTCGCACTCATCACAGCATGATTAAGTTATCTTGAGAAAGTGCGCATACCAGCTACAGTTAAAAATTTGTCGTTGCTTTTCCATCTGTGAGCACTTCACATGCCTTGACATATATGTATCTGAGTTGAGAAATGAACATGGAAGGGTACCAGTAAGTGTGAATGGCAGCGATTGTTGAAATGAGTGAGTGTTGGTGAGCGAAATGTGAGCGGGAAGGAGAGTGATATGGCTGAGTTAGGAAGTGCGAGTGTGTGGGCGCATACCTGTTGTCTCTCGCTACTTTCCCACACTTTTGAGCCATGATGAAGGAGCTGCTAGTGAGAGTTGCCAGCAGAAAAGTGCTTAGCTGCTCTTCTGTTCTGACAGCGTAGGCTTAAGACGTTTCGTGCTGAACTGGCAACCATTCATTTTTGTCAACATTCAGTTTTCGTTCCTCTTCAGACACCTTGCCAGGATATAGGCATGGGTTCCCGCCCAGTTTCCGCTGAACTTGAACTGCTTCAACCCTAGTTCCGATGAGTTTGAAGCAATTATTTGCATATGCCTTGAAAAACTATATGCAAATCAGGACTGTTCAGAAAGTTATGCACAGTCTGTGTTTTTCAAGATGGGCAGGAATGATCCACATCTTGGATGGAGAGGGCACTTAGCCATATGGTGGCTTCAGGAAACCACCAATGAGTCTTTCCAAGGTGCCTCACTCTGACACAATTACACAGAGAGGGAACTCTTCATCGTTTTTTTTTTTCACCATCAGAAATATGAAGCAATCAATTCGTGGATGATCACTACCTGTCAAGGAACTGGAATTCACGCCTAACTTTCAGCAGAATGAGTTATCACCAAAAGTGAGCCATTTCGCTGTTCACGTAAAATGCACATTTTTCATTGCCTCACAGCAATGTGCGAGTCAAGGTGAGCGTGTACAGTGACCACTCTGGGTGTGCTCATTTTTAGACTCATGTGTCATTCTGTTCCTTTTGCACTTGAGCAGCTCTACGTCTCATTCGTGCAAGGGGGCAACAACTTAGCTCAATAGCTTTATTCAGAACTATCGGGTCATCCTTAAATGTAAAGGGTCACATCGTTGTGGCTGTGCAGGTCATTGATGGTAATGTTAAGCAAGAAACCTTGATGTTGCCTGTCGATAGTTATAGCGCGAAAACAAAACGACGACACAGAGACAAGAAGGACACGAAAGACACGAGTGTCCTTCTTGTCTCTGTGTCGTCATTTTGTTTTCGCGCTATAACTATCGTCATGCCATACCAACTAGCCCAAGCTGCCACACTTGATGTTGCATCCAGTGTACTTTTTCTTCCCATCTCACTTCCCCCTTACTCTTGAAAGCTGAGACCGAAGGCAGGCCACTGTGAGCAACATGTCATGTAATTTGCATTTTTGCATCCATTGCGACAGTTGTTTTTTTTCAAGATCAACCACAAGGAGGGGCGTGCCTTTATGCAGATAACAGATTTCCCTCATATCTAATATGCTAATGTGAGATCTTTTCATCGGCATTTGCGTTTTTGTGCAGTATGTCTGCAATAAAAATGAATAAATAAATGAAGCTTACACAGGTCTTTCATGTATCACATGGGCATAGCCAGTGGAGGTTTGTAATGACAATGCAGGCTCAAAGCTGGCACTTAATTTTCCATCAGTACAAGAACACACATATCTGTCACTTGCATATCAATCACACACACATACATATAGGGTGATTAAAGACCCTCACTGAAAAAATTTTGGCTATGTCACTGGATCTCTTCATAGCTCAATTTGGGATAGATCCACAAACCAAAAGTTTTGTCCCAGACATATGCCTACTACTTTCTATAAAAGTGATGTAAACATAAATAAGTGGTGCTGAGGAGTAAGGTTGTCCTCGGGTGTTTCAGCCTTGCTGTCACTGTTGTGTACAGTACCCACAAAAATGCTTCCAGTTACACCAAAGAAGTAGGTGCTAACTCAATGGTAAATATTATTACAACTACAAGAGATTAAATGTTGAGAAATTAAGAAAGATGGAAAGCAAGTAAGTATTATTCCTTTGAAGGAAACACAACAGATGCAGTAAATTTAGTTTGTTGCTGCATAGCCAGCAAATCATTACACATGAGCTGTCTTTTGGTTTCTGCTCATAAAAGTGGTTATATACGTGCCTCGCGTCTGCTGTCAGAATCGTACACTAAATGTTAGCAAGTAGCACGAACATTTCACGAAGAAATTCAAAGCAGTGTTAAGAGGCATTTGCGAATTTCATAGAATCCGGACAGCTCAGGCAATTTTATTGCTTTGCTGAGCCTGCGCTACAGGAGTAGAGCACTACTTTGATGATTTCAGTCGAAACAACGTTAGCGCTCTTTTTGCAAATCACGCTTATGACTCGTCACGCAGCAACGATATTTCTCACAGCACGTGCAACGCCACTGATATCGTCCGGCCCAGTCCTGCAACAGCCGCCGATCCAGCGCACGTTAAGGTCGATCCACTCGGGTACGTAGGCCGCGAGTGGCTTGCGCGTCAGTCGGTCGTCCGGAACCCAGCAGGACGGAGTGTACATCTCGCCGCTGTTAGGATAAGCGACGAAAGGCACCCGGAGCGGTCTAATGGACCGAAAAGCGGCTGCCACCGATTGCGGAGGGCAGCAGTTGACGCCGATGGCGAATATCTGTCCGTTCACGTCAGCAAGGAGGCACTCGTTCATCACTTCCGCGAGCGGCTCTCCCTTTGCCGTGCAGTGCGGCGCGTCTCTTGATGTGCTGAAGCTGATCCACGCCCGCGTGTCGGGGAACTCGCGCAGCAGTCGCACGAGCGCCAGAGCTTCACGCTCAGCCGGTATCGTCTCGAAGGCTAGCACATCGCAGCCGGCCGCGATGAGGCACCGAACGCGGGGTCGGTGCCACTCGACGAGCTCCTCGACGCTCTTGACGGCCGCGTACGCACCCGTGTACTCGGACAAGTCGGCCTGCGCAGCGCCGAACGGCCCCACGGAGCCGGCGACCAGCACTCCCGGTCGCCCGCACTGTTCCCGTGCGGCGATCGCGGCTTCACAGCTGCGGGCGATTAGGCTCTCGGCTTCGGAAACGCAAATGCCCAGGTGAAACTGCAGGTTGTCGACGTTCGCCTGGTAGCTGCACGTCGTGACCACGTCGGCGCCGCTCCTGATATAGCTCTTGTGCACGTCCAATATCACCGGAAGGTTGGTTACGAGCACTCTAGCGCTCCAGAGAGGATCTTTGGGCGGTATCAAACCGCGATCGCTCAACTGTGACCCCATACTCCCGTCCAGAATGCGCACTGGGGCGCCCGAGGAGTTTGCGGGCGCCGCCATGCTTGAAAGACGTGGATACGGATTGGACCGACTCGACTTTATCAGGCTTTTCCAGCTTTGTGGCTTCCAGAGCGCGGCAGCTGTTTTGAGCATGGCGGACAATTTTCAACGTCAGCGATGTACGAAGATGCACTCACGCAGGTGTTGCGAATGTGACTATTGTCTTAAACTATCAGACCTCGAAGATACATACTTGAAGTACTTGAAGGCCCAACTGGAGCAATATGATTTAGCTGAAGTCGAGGTTGTGCGCACAAAGAGTGAAGCGAAAAAGCTGGCGACAAAAAATCTAGGTGGTGTTGCTACACCACGACTTACTGAAAGACGATGATGATGATGTGAGGCCACTGGCATGGCTCACACCCACTCAGAGGGATTAGCCAAGAAGTACATTATATAAATATTTTAGACATTTCCAGTATCAATCCGCTATCAAAAGCCGCGACATAAGGCATCAACGGGCTGTCCAGAGGGCCAACGATGCGGTGATCGGGCTTGGCCTGACTGTTTCAACGTAGGAGCGACCCGCTGCGCGTTGAGTCATGCTTCTCAGGATACAGCTTTCGATTCATCTATTTCATGCATAAGAATTGATAGCAAGAACGAAAAACGTACATAAACATGGAAGGAGTGCAATAACTGTTTTTCCCCATTCAAATCAGACACCATAGTTATTATCTGGAATTGAAATTGCAGTAGCAGAACTACTTTTTGTAATTTCCTGTTTTAAAAAAAACTCATTACTGCTCTAGTAATAGCAATGATTGCCGGGGAACGCGGCAATGCCAGACGCTTTTTTTTCAAGAGAGCGCTCGGATTCCACGGTCCGCTTTCACGAATCAAGAAGGTGGGCGGAAACAGTCAAGATCAGCGCTGAACGTGGTATTCAGGTAACGCAGGGTAATTCGCCAGAGCATGGAAAAGAGCCGTCTGATGTTTGGGCTTTAAAGAGAGAAAGCGCAGAGTTTAAAAAGGCTCTACAGACTCTCAGATCAGAATTAGAGTTCTTTCGGAACTTGTGCGAACCACTTGTGGCGGAGTCTCCTATTCCGATTCAGGCGGCCGGACCTAATAAGTGCAAGGCCGTCCCACCACTAGTGCCATTAGAAGGAGAGAACGCGAGGTCGGAGATTCCTCCGAGTCAACCTTCTGATACAGAAGCATATACACAAGCATCACTGTCTATGATTAACAAAACCCTCAACCAAATTAGAGAAGCCATAGCAACACATAGCATGAGCACATGGTTAGACATTTTTTTTTCATTTAACTGGCAGAGTAGAAATATTGGAAACTAAAATGAAAATGATAGACATGGGCAAAAGTGTTAAGGCAAAAAAAAAAAAGATGCATCGAGAGGATGATCGTGAGGGCTGAAATGAGTATGCGGACTCGCCGAAGGCCATTCTAACTCAGTACTTTCGAAAATGGTGATTCAAATAGGTAACATTATTGTGTGACAGTGGAACTGCGCAAGCTTTCTAAAACTTCAGGCTGCACTGCTGCAGCCAAGTCTAGTAACGTTGGCTGTAGCTGATCAAGGCACAAGAGCCTTAGGCCACCAATTCTTCTCTTGCAGGAAACTCCCAGAGAGAATATGTACCTTCCGGGTTTGTAAATTAACTGAATAAGGGCAGAGGCATAGCTACCTTAATATGATAGGACACCTCCTTCATGGTGCACTAAGGTAAAATCTGTGAGGCGGACCGGAAGACTGGCCTTGAGGCACAGGTGGTAGAGATTATCGAAATGGTAAAATTTGTCAGAACCAGAATATTTTCATCTTAAACTTGTACAGCCCCCCTTCTGCTCAAAAACACAATCTCGGGGCCATTCTTAGTAAAAACGCATCCGTAGTGGAGGATAATCTTTGGGTGATAGTTGGTGATTTCAATTTACCGCACTCAGCATGGGGATATACGATTCGGTCCAAAAAAGGAGACGATTTCGTTGCGGCAAACTCATATTTAGACTTTACACTCATCTCAAACCCACGTTTCCCCACCAGATTAGTAAACTGTATTCATGGGCACTATGCCCTATCTATATCTGCTTCACACACACACACACACACACACACACACACACACACACACACACACACACACACACACACACACACACACACACACACACACACACACACACACACACACACACACACACACACACACACACACACACACACGCATGCACACACGCACACACACACACACACACACACACACACACACACACACACACACACACACACACACACACACACACACACACACACACACACACACACACACACACACACACACACGCACGCACGCACGCACACACGCACACACGCACACACGCACGCACACACACACACACGAAGGCTTCAGCAAGGTTGTCTAATCTGCAGGAAAACCTGAGAAGTGACCATTCTATAATATAAATTATGCTAGATAAACAGCATCCACCTCCTAAACATTACATATATATAGGCTGGGATTTCTTCAGAGAAATTAGAGGTGAAGATGAAATGGTATACGACAATCTCAGTGACCTTTTCGCTGGAGTCCGATCTCGCAAAAGCCTCCAAAGTTATCACAATGGAACGAAATGTACCAAGCATGAATGTGTGGCTTGCCCATCTATTTGAGGCAAAGCGCTCTTTAATAGAGAGGTGTAAAACGCAGAAGTTAAACCGTAGGCTAGTAAAAAAAGTTTCGAGAGTCAACAAACTTATCGAAGACCACTGTAATGAACTAAACAAATAACAATGGAGGGATCTTTGTTTAGAAGCCAATGATGCGAAGGGAAGGTAAATGGACACTCTTTAGGCGTTTTACTAGATGACGGGCAGACCAAGAGAAATCAAAGACTTGCGGTTGACCTGCTTATTAACAAAGCTAAAGCAGAGGGTACTTCAGAAGTAGACTTCCTCCAGACCCTGGCGAATAAATATCTTCAGTTAGGGACAAATTAGAGTTCTCGCTCCCCGCTCTCTTATATGGACATTTTTGCCCCGGAAATGGATGCCCCTTTTAGGGAGGCAGAAATCATAGAAGTACTACACAATCTGAACATTAGCTCTGCTCTGGGACCTGATGGAGTCAGCAACAAACTTCTCAGGAACCTGGATGATAAAGCTATCGAGACCGTGGTTAAGAAGGTTATAGATGTTTGGGAAAACGAACTGGTCCCCCCAAACTTAAAGATGGTCACAGTAATCCTAATCCCGAAACCAGGCAGGTCTCCCAGCCTGGAGAACCTAAGGCCCATATCCTATCCGCAAGGTTAAGGAGGCAGGTCTCCCAGCCTGGAGAACCTAAGGCCCATATCCTATCCGTAAGGTTAAGAAGCATGACCTTGCCGATAATTTTTTCTCTAGGACTATTGCCGACTGCAGCTCCTTACCAATAAGGGCTTTTCTATCCGAAGATATTAAAAAAAAAACAACTTGAAGCTTTTTTGTCTCGTATTGTTTGGAATGATGTATGAATATGGCGTGTTGGGAGTGGCGGAGTGAATTATTTGTAGACTTTTGCTGGGTATGTTCATTGTTTATCTGCCGTAAAACTGCTGGCTGAGACCTCTATAAGTCGTCCGATTATGTGATGTGAGAGTGCACAATTTTCTATTTTTTGTGGTTGTTGCCCCTTTTGCTAGAGCCTAAGTATAGGCCTTCAGAACCTGTAAAAATAAATAAAAATAAATAAAAACGTGCAGTGCATAATAGAATACCTAGATACACCGAGCGCAAGAGACTTTTCCCATACGATGTGATAAGATTCCGTGTGGTTGTCACCAAACGAGCGCTCAAAAAAGGGCGCGCCCCCGAATTCTCGCGACGAAGCAGCGGAGCCCCCGGAAGCTTTTCAGCCTGCGCGTCACGTGACGTGACGTCGACGACGTCACATCGCGCCGGCCGCCCTTCGCTGGGTGGCTGCGCCAGCCGCGAGCGCTTGCCGCGCGCGCCCTTCACGCCTACTGACTCAGGTAGGGTTCCTTGACACCATGTCCGCACGATTTATCAAGGTATCGATTGATTGTATGGTGTAACGCGCCGACGCAACGCAGGCGATGAGGCGCGCCGTAGGGGAGGGCTCAGGATTAAGTTTGACTACCTGGGAATCTTTATTGTGTGCCGAAATCTCGTACACACGGGCGTTTTTGCTTTTCGCCTCCATCAGAAATGCGGCCGCCGCAGCCGGGTATCGAAACCGCGCCCTAGTGCTCAGCAGCGCAACGCTTTAGCCACTGAGCCACCGCGGCGGGGGAACTTATCAAGGTATCAAGAAATAATGAATATCGTGAATGGAATAATGCATATTTATTTATCACAGCCAGACGCCGTCTGTACAAATATCACAGTGCGCATTGTTCTCGGTCCAGGCAGACGACAGGCAACACAAGATGTTGCCCTTAATGCTGAAAATATGCCAAAAGTACAAAACACAATATCTTGCCACATAAAACTCAGAAAACAAAACAGATTGTAACAGCAAAAACATCCCCGAGCTTTGGAACAGAAAAAGCACACTTTCATTTGAATTGTAGGTCAGAGGAAAACATACCATTCGTTTATCATAGTAGCAGTAGCAACACAAGGTATCAGGTTCAAACACTTGCCAAAAATACAATACATAAGAACACTGGTGACTAAATTGTGGTCCACAGCATGATCAATGACAGAAAAAAAAGTAATTGTAATGCCACAGGTAGGTGCATGTCCTAGGGAAAAAAAAATCAAACAAAAATCTAAGAAAAACAAATCACAGTGCACAACATGTCTGTACACAGAGTGCACAAGGAAAGTGTACACAGCTCAGGTACCAAAACGGACTGTACAACTGCTACAGTAGGCACCGAGGCAGTTCGAGTTAAAAAAAGAAAAAAAGAGTACAGCACTTTTAAAAGCTAACAACTTGTAAAGAGATACAAAACTGGAAACAAGGCTCATTTTACATAAGGCAGAAGTATACCAAGGAAATCAAGTCATGACTATGCAATCAAATACACTC